GGTTGGCGACAGAAGGGTAAGTGAGAGGGTCAGAGGGGGGTTGGGTTAGTGACTCACTCTGTCTGCGCTGGGGCATGCTGGTGCGGGGCGGCCCCTGGTACTGTCTCTGCCAGGGGGAGAGGAAGGGGGCGGGAAGCACACCCTGCACAGAGAAAAGACAAAGGAGGCGTGACGTACACTGACACACACACACACACACACACACACATACACAAAGAGAGAGAGAGAAATCTACAGAGGTCCTATACATGTGAGAGTCATCATTCTTCACACGTAAACAGGAACTCATAATGTCATTCCATAGACAAAAGACACACACACACACAGTCCCTGATCTCCACAAGACATCCAGCCATGTTATGAGCGATTGTGTGAGTAGGAAGCATGACGTCAAAGAGCATGAAAAAACACAAACACTGTTAACATGCGAACGTTAGTGGGACGTCGTTTTGACTTTGTAAAGACCATCTACAAAAGTAAGAAAGGTAGAGTCACATATTGTAAAGCCAGCCAGCCTGTCGCAGGACTAGTACTTCATTTGACTTCTCATTTCCAGGTGAAGCAGTGCAGGGAGGAAGAAGGAAGGGTTATCAACCCAATCTCTCCATTTCACTCTGCAGTCAGCAAGTAGCCAAAATCAATTGTAGCCCACTGTTCCTCCCACTGCCACCACCAAGACCACATCGCTCACTCTGTCTGTTATTTGTCTCATTCTCTTACTCACTCTGTTTCCCTGCTCTAGGATGTCAATGCAAAAACATAACACTTTTGAAAGGCATACAAGTTAAAATGCATGTTGTACTTTTGTGAACCTCTCTCCAATAGCTCCTTCCTTTCTCTCTCACTCGCTCTCTGTCCCACAGTCTATTACGTTTAGCACTGAATAATCAGACAGAATGTTTGTCTGTGTGTGAGGGTGAATGCCTGTCCTCAATAACCGCCCCAAACTGGGCATTAAGATAAAAGCATCCTAGGTAAAAGAGGAGTGGAGGGGCGGCCGCAGGCGCTACGTTAACCAGAGATGACAGTCAACAGGTTATCCTGACTGTTTGGGGCCAGCTCTTAAATTGGCCAAATCTCCTCAAGCCGAGAGGGACATATATGCATCTAGGGTGAAAGAGATTGGACTCCCTGGGGGGCCCGCGCTATTTCAGAGACCCCCATGGTTAGGGAAGTGGATGAGAAATGAGGTTTCTGATCAACCTCCTCCCTGTCTTTCCTGTACAACACAATTACAGCAGGATCCTTCTGCATGGCCACCTGCCACGGCTTCATTTGCAGAAAGGAAGGTTTGAAATGGGAAAGGCGGCCTGGGCTAGCCTAGCGCCGACAGTGACTGGCATTTTCATTGGGCTGTCTGCAGCTCAGGGAGAGCTTTCCCATCTTCATCTAACATTCTGGTGTGAAGACGTAGCTACTTCCCAGGTCTGACAGTTCAGGGGGAACACTTTTCCTTTACTGACTTTATTGTTCCCGTGAAATTTTGTTGCAGTATCATGTACACGTTTAAAGTGGTGTTTAAATACAAAAAAATAAAAATCATAACAGTTACATACAGTATATACAGTGGGGGAAAAAAGTATTTAGTCAGACACCAATTGTGCAAGTTCTCCCACTTAAAAAGATGAGAGAGGCCTGTAATTGTCATCATAGGTACACGTCAACTATGACAGACAAAATGAGAAAAAAAAATCCAGAAAATCACATTGTAGGATTTTTTATGAATTAATTTGCAAATTATGGTGGAAAATAAGTATTTGGTCAATAACAAAAGTTTCTCAATACTTTGTTATATACCCTTTGTTGGCAATGACACAGGTCAAACGTTTTCTGTAAGTCTTCACAAGGTTTTCACACACTGTTGCTGGTATTTTGGCCCATTCCTCCATGCAGATCTCCCCTAGAGCAGTGATGTTTTGGGGCTGTCGCTGGGCAACACGGACTTTCAAGATTTTCTATGGGGTTGAGATCTGGAGACTGGCTAGGCCACTCCAGGACCTTGAAATGCTTCTTACGAAGCCACTCCTTCATTGCCCGGGCGGTGTGTTTGGGATCATTGTCATGCTGAAAGAACCAGCCACATTTCATCTTCAATGCCCTTGCTGATGGAATGAGGTTTTCACTCAAAATCTCACGATACATGGCCCCATTCATTCTTTCCTTTACACGGATCAGTCGTCCTGGTCCCTTTGCAGAAAAACAGCCCCAAAGCATGATGTTTCCACCCCCATGCTTCACAGTAGGTATGGTGTTCTTTGGATGCAACTCAGCATTCTTTGTCCTCCAAACACGACGAGTTGAGTTTTTACCAAAAAGTTATATTTTGGTTTCATCTGACCATATGACATTCTCCCAATCCTCTTCTGGATCATCCAAATGCACTCTAGCAAACTTCAGACGGGCCTGGACATGTACTGGCTTAAGCAGGGGGACACGTCTGGCACTGCAGGATATGAATCCCTGGCGGCGTAGTGTGTTACTGACGGTAGGCTTTGTTACTTTGGTCCCAGCTCTCTGCAGGTCATTCACTAGGTCCCCCCGTGTGGTTCTGGGATTTTTGCTCACCGTTCTTGTGATCATTTTGACCCCACGGGGTGAGATCTTGCGTGGAGCCCCAGATCGAGGGAGATTATCAGTGGTCTTGTATGTCTTCCATTTCCTAATAATTGCTCCCACTGTTGATTTCTTCAAACCAAGCTGCTTACCTATTGCAGATTCAGTCTTCCCAGCCTGGTGCAGGTCTACAATTCTGTTTCTGGTGTCCTTTGACAGCTCTTTGGTCTTGGCCATAGTGGAGTTTGGAGTGTGACTGTTTGAGGTTGTGGACAGGTGTCTTTTATACTGATAACAAGTTCAAACAGGTGCCATTAATACAGGTAACGAGTGGAGGACAGAGGAGCCTCTTAAAGAAGAAGTTACAGGTCTGTGAGAGCCAGAAATCTTGGTTGTTTGTAGGTGACCAAATACTTATTTTCCACCATAATTTGCAAATAAATTCATTAAAAATCCTACAATGTGATTTTCAGGATTTTTTCCCCTCAATTTGTCTGTCATAGGTGACGTGTACCTATGATGAAAATTACAGGCCTCTCTCATCTTTTTAAGTGGGAGAACTTGCACAATTGGTGGCTGACTAAATACTTTTTTTCCCCACTGTACCAATGAAAGAAGACCAGCCTGCTGATCTTACTAGGTGGATAGGAACATTACCCCGAGCTGTTTAGGAGGGATATCACACCTGGCACAAATTATTGTCTAGTTCTGTATTTCCTGGGGGGGGGGGGGGGGGGGGGGGAGTAGTTAAAAGTCCAGGTACAGGGGGTGGCTTGAGTCTAAAATGATTTTGTGAGCCTTGCTGAGGGCCCTGACCTTAAAGATCTCATTCAAGCCTGTCTGTTTGACTCCAAGTACCTTGCTTGTTGTGGTGATAATCCTTCTCAGCATATTTTTCTGGCTGACAGTGGCCTTGCCAAACCAACAAACAATACAAAAAGTTAAAATACTCTCAATGAAAGATTTGTAAAACAGAGTCAAGCCAACATTAAAAAGACCCAAGCAAACATTACAGTACAGTCTCTGCTGACTCTTTCTGTAGATCAGGTCTGTGCATTTACTCCACTGAAGCTTATTGTCCAAGAGGACACCCAGATATGTGTCTCTTTGGTTTTGATGTTATTGAGGACCAAGTGTGAGTCATCACACCACTCTACAAAGTAATTTAGGACTGGGCCACAGTGTTCCTCGTCATCATGCAACAAGCTGATTGGGCAGTGTCATCAGCGAACTTGACGAGGTCTCTGTCAAGATGGGAACTTGTACAACTGATGATGTACAAGATGTACAGGAGTGGGACAAAACACATCCCTGAGGAGAGCCTGTGTTGGTGGTGCGTTGGTCTGACACATGGGGACCCACCTTGACCTTTGGCTCAGGAAGTCCAACAGCCACAAAACCATCCCCCCCATCTAAGGAGAAATCCCTTATGATTGACTCTCTGCGCCAGAATGTAAGGCTGGATTGTGTGAAAGGCAGAAGAAAAGTTAACAAACAGAACCGTGACATGAGATTTGGCGCTCTCTAGATATCTATAGACCATGTTGAGGAGAGTAAGAATGTCATCAACTCCTCTGCTGGGCTGATAAGCAAACTGAAAGGGGTCAAGGAACTGCTGGGTGACGCTGAGGATATGGCTTTTTACAATTTTCGCAAAGCATTTCACTACTAAGGATGTCAAGGCAACAGGGCGGTTGTCATTCAGCACAGAGGGATTAGATGCTTTAGGAATGGGTATAATTGTAGAGTTTTTCCACAACACTGGCACGTGTTGCTGGACGAGGGAGGATTGGAAAATGTCTGTAAAAACACCAGATCATTTTTCAGCACAGTGCTTTAACACTATTTTGTCTGGGCCTGGCCTTTGGTGTATATTACATCCCCTGAACAATTTCATAACATCAACCCTCTCAAACATTTGTAATGAGGCTTTCATTAGTTATACTTCCGACACAAAGTCGTCTGATTCAAATCGTGCCCCACTTATTTTGTCTGGGCCTCAAGCACACAAGTAGGCTAACTACCACCAGTTATTAGATGGATTTGTCTTTCATCATGTCATTAGCATGCTAACAGTGTCTTGTCCTAACATGTCAGTGTGAAGCATTAATAAGGTGTGCATACTGTTGTTGATGTGTTCATTATGAAGTATGAGCAAAGCATAAGCAGTTATACTAGTAAAGTGTTCGCTTCCCCTTTCTTCTTACAAACTGGTCTGAGGCCATATTTGTGGAGCATGGTGTCATTGCTCATTACAAATGATCAAGGCATTAGAAGTTCTGCTAGCAGTGACAAATCTTACCCTAATCATCCACTACATGAAAGGCTTTCAGCTAGACTGAGGACAACACCAAGAGAAGAGATACAACCCAGGTCTGTACACACATTTTTACTTTGGTAGTTCTGGCAATTAAATTTGCACCTGTCCGATAATATGAAGTTGATTTTCAAAGCAGCGTTCTGGTGGTAGCTGGGGGCAGGGTGGTTAGTATGGAATCTCTGGGGTATCTCTCTCTCTCTACCTCTCTCCCTCTCTCCCTCTCTCCCTCCTGCTGACAGGATGACAAGAGCATTGTGTCTAATTAGCACTTAGATAATGATAGAAAGAAAGAGGGGAAAGAGACGGAGGAAAAGAGAGAAAGTTTGAGGAGGAAAGAGGTAGACAGAGGGGGTGTAGCAGTAATTAGCCTTTTGTCTCGGTGTGACGAAACAAGGTTTAGCATTCTATTATTCTTCCAGCCGGTTTGATTTTCCGCGTTATTAATGAGGCCGTTCGGTATTCCCCTGTTGTCTAAACCCTTTGTCCCGGTCCTTTATCTATCCCTGTCACGCCCTGACTCAGGGGACGCTTATATGTTGAGTCAGGGTGTGCATATTCCTTGTTGTGCTTGTTCTATGTTGTATTCTAGTATGTATAGATCTATGTTGGCCGGTGTGGTTCCCAATCAGAGGCAGCTGTCGCTCGTTGTCTCTGATTGGGGACCATACTTAGGCAGCCTATTGGCACTGTGTAGTTGTGGGATCTTGTTCCGGTTAAGGTTGGTTGTGTATCTACCTTAGGACTTCACGTTTCATTTATTGTTTTGTCGTGTGTTTATTAGGTTAAATAAACATGTACGTATATCACGCTGCGCCTTGGTCTGTCCCGTCATTCAACGAACGTGACAATCCTGAACCTCCAGGCACGAACGCACGCGCACACTCTCTCTCAATCTCTCTCAAATCAAGGCATTGCGTTAACAGTGTATCAATTAAGCCATAGGGAGTTATATCTGATAACATGAGTACCCTTAATTTCTTCTAAAGTTACAGTGGACTATGTTAAATCTATCAAAGTGTGGTGTGTAGAAAGTCTCCCGTTCCGTAAGAGATCAGACATGTGAAAGCCCTAACAACATCCTGGTCATTGGACACCCCTCTGTGAGTAGTGTACTGGGTAACCCTCAAAAAAGGACTAGCAGGCAGGCACCAGGATTTCACACAACAACACTATCGGTAGGAACTAGGATCAGAGGAGATATTAGACCTAAGTCATGCTTCAATGACGGTACCTGCTAGCAGCATGTGTCCCGCATCCGAAACTACATCAATAAATCGGTAGACGGTTCTGATTGGAGAAACGCTGTTTGTATCGCTGAGCAGTGAACAAGAAACAATTAAACCCAGTTTTTAAATGCAACCCCCCCCCTCCACAAATCAAAATCTAATATGGATCCAATGTTTTGTTCGGGCTTTGCACGCACACATTTCCTCTACTGCGAGACTGATTAGCTAGACAAGCAGGTGTGAAACACAGACCAGTGTGCACGCTAAGTGAGAATACAGTCGTGGTCAAAAGTTTTGAGAATGACACAAGTATTGGTCTTCACAAAGTTTGCTGCTTCAGTGTTATGAGATATTTTTGTCAGATGTTACTATGGTATACTGAAGTATAATTACAAGCATTCCGTAAGTGTCAAAGGCTTTTATTGACAATTACATTAGGTTTATGCAAAGAGTCAATATTTGCAGTGTTGACCCTTCTTTTTCAAGACCTCTGCAATCCGCCATGGCATGCTGTCAATTAACTTCTGGGCCACATCCTGACTGATGGCAGCCCATTCTTGCATAATCAATGCTTGGAGTTTGTCAGAATTTGTGGGTTATTGTTTGTCCACCTGTCTCTTGAGGATCGACCACAAGTTCTCAATGGCATTAAGGTCTGGGGAGCTTCCTGGCCATGGACGTTCTCAATGTCGATGTTTTGTTCCCAGAGCCACTTAGTTATCACTTTTGCCTTATGGCAAGGTGCTCCATCATGCTGGAAAAGGCATTGATCGTCACCAAACTGTTCTTGGATGGTTGGGAGAAGTTGCTCTCAGAGGATGTGTTGGTACCATTCTTTATTCATGGCTGTGTTCTTAGGCAAAATTGTGAGTGAGCCCACTCCCTTGGCCGAGAAGCAACCCCACACATGAATGGTCTCAGGATGCTTTACTGTTGGCATGACACAGGACTGATGGTAGCGCTCACCCTGTCTTCTCCGGACAAGGTGTTTTCCGGATGCCCCAAACAATCGGAAAGGGGATTCAGAGAAAATGACTTTACCCAAATCCTCAGCAGTCCAATCCCTGTACCTTTTGCAGAATATCAGTCTGTCCCTGATGTTCTTCCTGGAGAGAAGTGGCTTCTTTGCTGCCCTTCTTGACACCAGGCCATCCTCCAAAAGTCTTTGCCACACTGTGCGTGCAGATGCACTCACACCTGCCTGCTGACATTCCTGAGCAAGCTCTGCACTGGTGGTGCCCTGATCCCGCTGCTGAATCAACTTTAGGAGACGGTCCTGGCGCTTGCTGGACTTTCTTGGGCGTGGCCGCTTAAGCCTTCTTCAAAACAATTGAACCTCTCTCCTTGAAGTTCTTGATGATCCGATAAATGGTTGATTTAGGTGCAATCTTACTAGCAGCAATATCCTTGCCTGTGAAGCCCTTTTTGTGCAAAGCAATGATGACAGCACGTGTTTCCTTGCAGGTAACCATGGTTAACAGGGGAAGAACAATGATTTCAAGCACCACCCTCCTTTTAAAGCTTCCAGTCTGTTATTCTAACTCAATCAGCATGACTGAGTGATCTCCAGCCTTGTCCTCGTCAACACTCTCAACTGTGTTAATGAGAGAATCACTGACATGATGGCAGCTGGTCCTTTTGTGGCAGGGCTGAAATGAAGTGGAAATGTTTTTTGGGGATTAAGTTCATTTTCATGGCAAATAGGGACTTTGCAATTAATTGCAATTCATCTGATCACTCTTCATGACATTCTGGAGTATATGCAAATTGCCATCATCAAAACTGAGGCAGCAGACTTTGTGAAAATTTGTATTTGTGTCATTCTCAAAACTTTTGACCACAACTGTACAACATGGAATGTGATGCCAACAGCAATTCTCCAATCAGAACCGTCTACCAATTATGCATGTAGCTTCGGATGCGGGACACATGCTGCTAGCAGGTACAGTCATTGAAGCATGACTTATCTCACACGATGTCACTATGGAATGCCCTTATTAACTCTTATTAATTAAATAATGAAGGTCTAAAATTGGGCCAATGTTCCACCTGCTCCAACAGTCCCTTTGAACTGTCTGTGGAGAGAGAGGGAGGGAGTAGGAGAGAGAGAGAGAGAGAGAGAGAGAGAGAGAGAGAGAGAGAGAGAGAGAGAGAGAGAGAGAGAGAGAGAGAGAGAGGAGAGAGAGAGAGAGAGAGAGAGAGAGAATGAGAGAGAAACTGAGTGGGAGAGGGAGAGAGGGAGACAGAGAGAGAAAGAGTGAGAGAAAGTGAGAGAGAGAGTGAGAGAGAGAGATAGGGAGACAGAGAGAGAAAGAGTGAGAGACAGTGAGAGAGAGAGAGAGAGGGAGTGCAACCTACAGTGTGAAACATGTACCTTTGATACTGTCTGAAGAAAAGAGACACAAATAATTAAATGGGGAAAGAATAAGTGAGATTGACACATACAGATGTAGAAAGATAACAGAGGAACTCACTACACCTGCCTTATGTGTGTAGATGGCTGACGGCTTTTCTCAAACACACAGACAGTCTCACCATCCATTAACTGGTTCCACCATATAGGACAATGGTAATGGAGTGGGGGTAGGGAGGGGGGATTTGGAGGTGTAGTACCAGTGAGTGAGTAAGTTGAATGGGAGGATAGGGTGTGAGGAAGGGGACTGACCTGATGACTGACTAGCAGTGGACAGATGAGACAGACTGGATGTGGGTCTCTCCAGGTATATATTATACAGGTGTACTCACAGCATGGCTGTTTCCTTGTCCTCTCCAGGGGGTCTGTGTGGCCTTGTCGTGGTGCGTCTGTCTATCTCCCCCGAGCGACGGTGCCCTCTGGTGGCAGTGACACCTCCCAGGCTGGTCATCATGGGCAGGCTGGGGGAGGAGAGAGAGTTACCACTACTGTATCAGGAAAATACACTGCTCAAAAAAATAAAGGGAACACTAAAATAACACATCCTAGATCTGAATGAATGAAATAATCTTATTAAATATTTTTTTCTTTGCATAGTTGAATGTGCTGACAACAAAATCACACAAAAAATATCAATGGAAATCAAATGTATCAACCCATGGAGGTCTGGATTTGGAGTCACCCTCAAAATTAAAGTGGAAAACCACACTACAGGCTGATCCAACTTTGATGTAATGTCCTTAAAACAAGTCAAAATGAGGCTCAGTAGTGTGTGTGGCCTCCACGTGCCTGTATGACCTCCCTACAACGCCTGGGCATGCTCCTGATGAGGTGGCGGATGGTCTCCTGAGGGATCTCCTCCCAGACCTGGACTAAAGCATCCGCCAACTCCTGGACAGTCTGTGGTGCAACGTGGCGTTGGTGGATGGAGCGAGACATGATGTCCCAGATGTGCTCAATTGGATTCAGGTCTGGGGAACGGGCGGGCCAGTCCATAGCATCAATGCCTTCCTCTTGCAGGAACTGCTGACACACTCCAGCCACATGAGGTCTAGCATTGTCTTGCATTAGGAGGAACCCAGGGCCAACCGCACCAGCATGTGGTCTCACAAGGGGTCTGAGGATCTCATCTCGGTACCTAATGGCAGTCAGGCTACCTCTGGCGAGCACATGGAGGGCTGTGCGGCCCCCCAAAGAAATGCCACCCCACACCATGACTGACCCACCGCCAAACCGGTCATGCTGGAGGATGTTGCAGGCAGCAGAACGTTCTCCACGGCGTCTCCAGACTCTGTCACGTCTGTCACATGTGCTCAGTGTGAATTTTGTAAATGACATCGCCGAAGTCAAGGATCGGTAGGATAGTCAGTTTTACGAGGGCATGTTTGGCAGCATGAGTGGAGGCTTTGTTGCGAAATAGGAAGCCGATTCTAGATTTAACTTTGGATTGGAGATTCTTAATGTGAGTCTGGAAGGAGAGTTTACAGTCTAACCAGACACTTAGGTATTTGTAGTTGTCCACATACTCTAGGTCAGACCCGTCGAGAGTGGTGATTCTAGTCGGGTGGGCGGGTGCCAGCAGCGTTCGATTGAAGAGCATGCATTTAGTTTTACTAGTGTTTAAGAGCAGTTGGAGGCTACTGAAGGAGTGTTGTATGGCATTGAAGCTCGTTTGGAGGTTTGTTAACACAGTGTCCAATGAAGGGCCAGATGTATACAAAATGGTGTCGTCTGCGTAGAGGTGGATCTGAGAGTCACCAGCAGCAAGAGCGACATCATTGATATACACGGAGAAAAGAGTCGGCCCAAGAATTGAACCCTGTGGCACCCCCATAGAGACTGCAATAGGTCCAGACAACAGGCCCTCCGATTTGACACACTGAACTCTATCTGAGAAGTAGTTGGTGAACCAGGCGAGGCAGTCATTTGAGAAACCAAGGCTATTTAGTCTGCCAATAAGAATGCGGTGGTTGACAGAGTCGAAATCCTTGGCCAGGTCGATGAAGACGGCTGCACAGTAGTGTCTATTATCGATCGCGGTTATTATATCGTTTAGGACCTTGAGCGTGGCTGAAGTGCACCCATGACCAGCTCGGAAACCGGATTGCATAGCGGAGAAGGTACGGTGGGATTCGAAATGGTCGGTGATCTGTTTGTTAACTTGGCTTTCAAATACTTTTGAAAGGCAGGGCAGGATGGATATAGGTCTGTAACAGTTTGGATCTAGAGTGTCACCCCCTTTGAAGAGGGGGATGACCGCGGCAGCTTTCCAATCTCTGGGGATCTCAGACGTTACGAAAGAGAGGTTGAACAGACTAGTAATAGGGGTTGCGACAATTTCGGCGGCTAGTTTTAGAAAGAAAGGGTCCAGATTGTCTAGCCCAGCTGATTTGTAGGGGCAAGTTGCAGCGGAGGGTGCAGAGTTGGTGGCCGGGGTAGTGGTAGCCAGGTGGAACGCATGGCCAGCCGTAGCAAAATGCTTGTTGAAATTCTCGATTATTGTAGATTTATCGGTGGTGATAGTGTTTCCTAGCCTCAGTGCAGTGGGCAGCTGGGAGGAAGTGCTCTTATTCTCCATGAACTTTACAGTGTCCCAAAACTTTTTGGAGTTAGTGCTACAGGATGCAAATTTCTGTTTGAAAAAGTTAGCCTTTGCTTTCCTGACTGCTTGTGTATATTGGTTCCTAACTTCCCTGAAAAGTTGCATATCGCGGGGGCTATTTGATGCTAATGCAGTACGCCACAGGATGTTTTTGTGCTGGTCAAGGGCAGTCAAGTCTGAGGAGAACCAGGGGCTATATCTGTTCTTAGTTCTGTATTTTTTGAATGGGGCATGTTTATTTAAGATTGAGAAGAAATTACTTTTAAAGAACAACCAGGCATCCTCTACTCCATGCTCTGGACACTACGCTGACAGACACAGCAAACCTTCTTGCCACAGCTCGCATTGATGTGCCATCCTGGATGAGCTGCACTACCTGAGCCACTTGTGTAGGTTGTAGACTCCGTCTCATGCTACCACTAGAGTGAAAGCACCGCCAGCATTCAAAAGTGACCAAAACATCAGCCAGGAAGCATAGGAACTGAGATAGGGCGGCAGGTAGCTTAGTGGGTAAGAGCGTTGTGCCAGTAACCGAAAGGTCGCTGGTTCTAATCCCCGAGCCGACTAGGTGAAAAATCTGTCGATGTGCCCTTAAGCAAGGCACTTAACCCTAATTGCTAATGTAAGTCGCTCTGGATAAGAGCGTCTGCTAAATGACTAAAATGTAAATGTAAAATGTAAATGTGGTCTGTGGTCACCACCTGCAAAACCAGTCCTTTATTGGGGGGTGTCTTGCTAATTGCCTATAATTTCCACCTGTTGTCTATTCCATTTGCACAACAGCATGTGAAATGTATTGTCAATCAGTGTTGCTTCCTAAGTGGACAGTTTGATTTCACAGAAGTGTGATTGACTTGGAGTTACATTGTGTTGTTTAAGTGTTCCCTTTATTTTTTTGAGCAGTGTACAACAACAACTGATCTACTAAGGTGAGTTGGTATTCAAAAACTGCATGAGTGGAACTTATTTCTGATGAAGATACAAAAACAGTCTCTAGTCTAAACACTACTACTAGAGGCTATTAACTTTAATACTATGTAGGTCATCCCCAGTGGGTTTTCAAGTTTAGACTATAGCAGTGGATCAGTTGCTAATTGACAGTTTGTTGTTAAAGAATGTATTTATTCCAGGAGCACCAACGTCAGATGAGGTGAGGTTAACATTCAATCCAATTGGTAACCTCATATACATTTTTTTTTTTTTTTTATTCACCTTTATTTAACCAGGTAAGCCAGTTGAGAACAAGTTCTCATTTACAACTGCGACCTGGCCAAGATAAAGCAAAGCAGTGCGATAAAAACAACAACACAGAGTTACATATGGGGTAAACAAAACATAAAGTCAAAAATACAACAGAAAATATATATACAGTGTGTGCAAATGTAGTAAGTTATGGAGGTAAGGCAATAAATAGGCTATAGTGCAAAATAATTACAATTTAGTATTAACACTGGAATGATAGATTTGCAAGAGATGATGTGCAAATAGAGATACTGGGGTGCAAATGAACAAAATAAATAACAATATGGGGATGAGGTAGTTGGGTGGGCTAATTTCAGATGGGCTGTGTACTGGTGCAGTGATCGGTAAGGTGCTTTGACAACTGATGCTTAAAGTTAGTGAGGGAGAAAAGAGTCTCCAGCTTCAGAGATTTTTGCAGTTCGTTCCAGTCATTGGCAGCAGAGAACTGGAAGGAATGGCGGCCAAAGGAGGTGTTGGCTTTGGGGATGATCAGTGAGATATACCTGCTGGAGCGCATACTACGGGTGGGTGTTGCTATGGTGACCAATGAGCTAAGATAAGGCGGGGATTTGCCTAGCAGTGATTTATAGATGACCTGGAGCCAGTGGGTTTGGCGACGAATATGTAGTGAGGACCAGCCAACAAGAGCGTACAGGTCACAGTGGTGGGTAGTATATGGGGCTTTGGTGACAAAACGGATGGCACTGTGATAGACTACATCCAATTTGCTGAGTAGAGTGTTGGAGGCTATTTTGTAAATGAAATTGCCGAAGTCAAGGATCGGTAGGATAGTCAGTTTTACGAGGGCATGTTTGGCAGCATGAGTGGAGGCTTTGTTGCGAAATAGGAAGCCGATTCTAGATTTAACTTTGGATTGGAGATGCTTAATGTGAGTCTGGAAGGAGAGTTTACAGTCTAACCAGACACCTAGGTATTTGTAGTCCACATACTGTAGGTCAGACCCGCCAAGAGTAGTGATTCTAGTCGGGTGGGCGGGTGCCAGCAGCGTTCGATTGAAGAGCATGCATTTAGTTTTACTAGTGTTTAAGAGCAGTTGGAGGCTACGGAAGGAGTGTTGACAATTAAGCTGAGCTACATAAAAATTCAACATACCCATGTCTGTCTCTCTCCTCACAGTTCAATAAACACAACACCAACCACCCTTTGATAATGAGTAAAACAGAACACCTTCATCCTAGCAAAGCAGCCACGCCATCTCTCTCACTCTCTCACTCTCTCACTCTCTCACTCATATATATTGAAGGGCTTTATTGGCATGGGGAATGTATGTTAACATTGCCTAAGCAAGTGAAGTAGATGGTAAACAAAAAAAGTGAAATAAACATTACACTCAGAAGTTCCAAAAGAATAAAGACAAATGTCATATTATGTATATATACAGTGTTGTAACAATGTGCAAATAGTTAAAGTACAAATGGGAAAATAAACATAAATATGGGTTGTATTTACAATGGTGTTTGTTCTTCACTGGTTGCCCTTTTCTTGTGGCAACAGGTCACAATACTGCTGCTGTGATGGCACACTGTGTTTTTTCACCCAGTAGATAAGGGAGTTTATCAAAATTGGGTTTTGTTTTCGAATTCTTTGTGGATCTCTGTAATCTGAGGGAAATATGTGACTCTAATATGGTTATACATTTGGCAGGAGGTTAGAAGTGCAGCTCAGTTTCCACCTCATTTTGTGGGCAGTGTGCACATAGCCAATCGTCTCTTGAGAGCCAGGTCTGCCTACGGCGGCCTTTCTCAATAGCAAGGCTATGCTCACTGAGTCTGTACATAGTCAAAGCTTTCCTTAAGTTTGGGTCAGTCTCTGTTTAGGGCCAAATAGCATTCTAGTTTTCTCTGTTTTTTTGTTAATTCTTTCCAATGTGTCAAGTAATTCTCTTTTTGTTTTCTCATGATTTGGTTGGGTCTAATTGTGTTGTTGTTGTTGTCCTGGGCTCTGTGGGGTCTGTTTGTGTTTGTGAACAGAGCCCCAGAACCAGCTTACTTAGGGGACTCTTCTCCAAGTTCATCTCTCTGTAGGTGATGGCTTTGTTATGGAAGGTTTGGGAATCACTTGCTTTTAAGGTTATAGAATTTAACGGCTCTTTTATGGATTTGATAATTAGCGGGTATCGGCCTAATTCTGCTCTGCATGCATTATTTTGTGTTTTTCATTGTACACTGAGGATATTTTTTGTGTTTGTCCCATTTTGTGAATTCTTGGTTGGTGAGCGGACCCCAGACCTCACAACTATAAAGGGCAATGGGTTCTATAACTGATTCAAGTATTTTTAGCCAGATCCTAATTGGCATGTCAAATTTTATGTTCCTTTTGATAGCATAGAAGGCCCTTCTTGCCTTGTCTCTCAGATCGTTCACAGCTTTGTGGAAGTTACCTGTGGCGCTGATGTTTAGGCCGAGGTACGTATAGTTTTTTGTGTGCTCTAGGGCAACGGTGTCTAGATGGAGTTTGTATTTGTGGTCCTGGCAACTGGACCTTTTTTGGAACACCATTATTTTTGTCTTACTGAGATTAACTGTCAGGGCCCAGGTCTGACAGGATCTGTGCAGAATATATAGGTGCTGCTGTAGGCCCTCCTTAGTTGGTGACAGAAGCAAACAGTAGACAATTTACTTCAGATTCTAGTAGGTTGAGGCCGGGTGCTGCAGACTGTCCTAGTGCCCTCGCCAATTCGTTGATATATATATATGTTGAAGAGGGAGGGGCTTAAACTGCATCCCTGTCTCACCCCACGGCCCTGTGGAAAGAAATGTGTGCTTTTTGCCAATTTTAACTGCACCCTTGTTGTTTGTGTACATGGATTTTATAATGTCGTATGTTTTTCCCCCAACCCCACGTTCCATCAATTTGTATAGCAGACCCTCATGCCAAATTGAGTCAAAAGCTTTTTTGAAATCAACAAAGCATGAGAAGACTTTGCCTTTGTTTTGGTTTGTTTGTTTGTCAATTAGGGTGTGCAGGGTGAATACATGGTCTGTCGTACGGTAATTTGGTAAAAAGCCAAATTTGACATTTGCTCAGTACATTGTTTTCACTGAGGAAATGATCTAGTCTGCTGTTAATGATAATGCAGAGAATTGGAGAATCCAGTGGGTTCTGGTAGTCTTTAATAGTTGATTCTAAGATTTGCATTTGATCATGTATATATTTTTTGCTCTTTGTTCTTTGTTATTGGGCCAAAAAGATTGGAAAGTGGTTTACCCATACATTTCCATTTTGGATAGATAGCTCTTCGTGTTGTTGTTTGTTTAGTGTTTTCCAAGTGGTTGGAGTCTATGGATTCTTCAATTACATTGAGCTGATTTCTGACATGCTGTTCCTTCTTTTACCATAGTGTATTTCTGTATTGTTTTAGTGATTCACCATAGTGAAGGCGTAGGCTCAGGTTTTCTGGGTCTCTATGTTTTTGATTGGATAGGTTTCTCAGATTTCTTTCTTAGGTTTTTGCATTCTTCATCAAACCATTTGTCATTGTTGTTACTTTTCTTCGGTTTTTTGTTAGAGATTTTTAGATTTGATAGGGAAGCTGAGAGTTCAAATATACTGTTTAGGTTTTCTACTGCCAAGTTTACACCTTCACTATTACAGTGGAACGTTTTGTCCAGGAAGTTGTCTAAAAGGGATTGAATTTGTTGTTGTCTAATTGTTTTTTGGTAGGTTTCGACACTATCCTTCCATCTATAGCATTTCGTAATATTATTCAGTTCCTTTGGCTTTGATTGAGTATTGCTCTGTTCAAGTAGCTGCGATTTTGCTGTGGTCTGATAGGGGTGTCAGTGGGCTGACTGAACGCTCTGAGAGACTTTGGGTTGAGGTCAGTGATAAAGTAGTCTACAGTACTACTGCCAAGAGATGAGCTATAGGTGTACCTACAATAGGAGTCCCCTCGAAGCCTACCATTGACTATGTACATACCCAGCGTGCGACAGAGCTGCAGGAGTTGTGACCCGTTTTTGTTGGTTATGTTGTCGTAGTTGTGCCTAGGGGGGCATATGGGGGAGGGAATGCTGTCACCTCCAGGTAGGTGTTTGTCCCCCTGTGTGCTGAGGGTGTCAGGTTCTTGTCCAGTTCTGGCATTTAGGTCGCCACAGACTATGTCCCTGGGTCTGGAAATGATTGATTTCCCCCTCCAGGATGGAGAAGCTGTCTTCATTAAAGTATGGGGATTCTAGTGGGGGGATATAGGTAGCACACAGGAGGACATTTTTCTCTGTTGAGATCATTTCGTTTTGAATTTCTAGCCAAATGTAAAATGTTCCTGTTTTGATTAATTTAATAGAATGAGTTAGGTCTGCTCTATACCAAATTAGCATACCCCACACCTGTATTTGAGGGCGATATCCTTTAGGGTCTGGGCGAAGGTGGGCACAGCTGCCTTGTATAGGTGGACCTGGTCGTAAAGGCTGTTCAAGTCCAGGGTGGAGTGGTGGGCCAGGTAGACATTTGGTTTTGAGGCACAGTCACGGGAAATACTTGTGTTTACCTGCTGTATGGTAGCAGGGTGGAAGTATTTTGGTGGTAGCAGGGTTGAGATAACCACTTGTGCGTTGGGGAAAGTAGAAGAAGAGTGCTGTGGCCACCCTTTCCTGCTGTGTTCTCAGGTCATTTGTGCCTGTGTGTATTATTATGTGGCTGGGTGATCCTAGTTGGTCCTCAGACAGAAGGTCTAGGGAGTGCTGGGTGTTTGGACACCAGAGTTTAGACACTGTGTGTTTGGGAAAAAGTTTATTTTCTTGTATGTATTTCCCGTTTGAGTCCATAAGGAGTACAATCTGTGGCTTGTATATGTCCTCAGTGGGTGTGGGGGGGGTCGTCAGGAGGGCTATCAGGGTGGCTGACAGGGGGGGGGGGTGCTCAGAGGGGTTGGGATCGCTTGGGGTTGTTTGTCCGGCTGTGATGTCGAGGCTATGGTCAGGGTCTAGGGTGTACTGTTCTGCTGCGGTGTCGACACTTTGGCCAGGATCTGAGGTGGGCTGTTCTGCTGGCTTCTCTGCGGGGGTGGCCAGCTCTCTAATAGGTTGTTCTCTGTCACCCGCCATCGTTCTCACCTTCTCCTCCAGCACTCTGATCCTCTCCTCTAGTGCTCTGTTCTTCTCCTGTTCTTTCTCCTGTTGTTGTTGTTGTTGTTGTTGTTGTTGTTGTTGTCTCACCACATTCCAGAGTGCAGATATGTCTCTCTCCACCTCCAGATCTCCAGGTCTAGTTAAGGGGGTGTTGTTGTCTGGGTCTGTGCTGACTGGAGTGTGTTCACCTGCTGTTCCAGCTCCACCTGCCTTACCTCCAGCTAGGTTAATTTATCCTTAATTTCAATGAGGGAGTAGTACTCTGTGCTGGGAAGTTGACTTTCCGCTTGGGGTTGCTCGTCTGTGGGGTTATTTAATGAAGAGGTCTGGTCTGACCCGCTCGGGGTGGGGGTATCTTTCTCAAGGGAGAGCTTATCCTGCTTCTCTCTCTCTCCCTCCCTCCCCCCCCTCCCTCCAGACAGCGATCTGCAAATATCCAGACACTGTTTGCATGTGCAAGATTAGAGGTGCCAGAATTGTGAGGGAGAGGACAGGGGTGCTACGCTACATGGGCTATTCTAATTGGAATTGGGAACGCTAGAGTGGTTGGAACACTGATGTTGCTCTGACATTTGCTATTACTGTACCATACGTTGTTCTGACATTTGGTATTGCTCTACATGGGGAATTTGAATAATGTCAGTGGACGGTCTGGTTGTTTACCTAACGAGCCCACTAGGCCCTGGACACTAATGAACGTTACAACACTGATGGATCCATGTGAAAGCAAACAGAACTGATGTCGGTGTCATGACTATGTAATTCGTAGAAACACAACTCCCACATGTAATGTGTTGCATTATGATGGAGGCCAATGCACTGGCAGAGAATGACTGCCGTTGTCTCACTGACCCCTCCTGGAGACTCACCGCCTGTTGCTGTAGTGTGAGCTGTGTGATTGTCCTCTCCTTATTCCTCAGCTCCTCCTTGAGCTCCCGTACCTCCTTCATTAGCTCCTCTAGCTGGAACACATACACATTGGTTCATTCTGAACAAGTCTAACAATGCTACTTGTCTTGGCTCCTGGATGTGGCTGACTGTACCTGTAAGGTTGTGCTGTTATCCTCCTCACCCTCCTCCACAACCTCTGGGCCTCCATCCTCCATCTACAAACACACAACACATAAGTTTCAGTATTCTGAACTATACTACATGGGGCAGGCAGCATGACTAGCTGTACGGATATTGACAGTTGATTATAATGATACTACTAATTGCTACTAAGTTTGGAGCTTCTTCTGTAATTTCTTCTGTAGACAGGCCTTGAAGCAGATTGGTAGACATCAAAATAATCTTTCTCAAACAGCGGGACCTGTTCACTGTGTATCCCAAAAACCTGTATACTTCTGTTTTTGGGATGCTCTAGCTAGCCTATAGCCAGCTGGGTAAACCGATAAAGCCTGTTGCTTGTAGCTCAGAGAGATCACTTACGATTAAAGTAGAGCCTCATTTTACAGCTGCTGCCCACAGCACATCATCCCAGCTCCAAAGAAAGACAATTAAGAAGAGAACAACTAATGGTCCAACAAACTGTTTGGTGACCAAGGCCAAACTACCCTGCTAATTACAGACAACAAACAGACAGACATACTTTAAGACTTTCTCAATTAGACATTTTAGTCATTTAGCAATTCGATTACTATAATCAATAACAGCAGCATTACTTAGTGTAACGAACCTTGCCTAGGTAGGCCTGTTACGATCCCCCCCCAAACGGGTTAACCCTTATTGGAGTAATGGTTAGCAGATCTGCCTACGGGCTGGGAGACCCGCAAGGGGCGTTACACTGTTGCCGTTTGCTACATTTTACACAGTCAGAGGTCAAATGTCAAATTAACATGAATCAAACATGGGTACAAATAACGCACATTTATACACATCACTTTGGTCCCAATGAAAGATGTTCCTTTTTGGAGATAATGAACATATTCTCTGCTCTGACAAGCAAATCAAATTACTATCACAGAGAGTGCCTGTGGGGTGCTTTGTCATGTCATAGACCATCTTTGGGCACAGTTGACTTGTTTTGGAGGAATATAATGTGCTGAGGGCTGTGAGAGCAAAGTCAATATCACCCAGCCTTCACACTAACATAGATAATGGGGTCCTGAAGGGCCAGACAGAGACGCTGTACTGTCAAAGGCTGTACACTACTGATTAACTGTCCCACACATCACATCACTGACTCTGTGTGTTTGTTTGTGTGTGTGTGTGTGTGTGTGTGTGTGTGTGTGTGTGTGTGTGTGTGTGTGTGTGTGTGTGTGTGTGTGTGTGTGTGTGTGTGTGTGTGTGTGTGTGTGTGTGTGTGTGTGTGTGTGTGTGTGTGTTGAATGGAATGCTTCACCTGACAGATCTATTAAGTGATTAGGAACCACAGGTAACCCACAAGGGAGGAGGAGGGTTGGCTCCAGGAGTAATAACAGGTAAGAAGAGATGAGTGCCACAGCTTAACTGTTGCTCACTCTCAAGACATGGGCATGAGACATGGCATTGTAAAGCCAGCAGCTATTTTCTACATCACAAAATAGATTAAACCATTGCATCTCTGCTACATAGGCCTAAAGGGTCACTGTGACTGGCAGGCAGCAGTGCAGATTTCTACTGCCTTTAAACTTCAGCCTTCTGTCACCTGGATGTTTTGATGTGTGATAAACTCCTATAAAGCTACTGCTTAATAAAACATCAGCAGCCTCCGTCTGGCGAAATAAAAACTCTAACCCTTACATCATAGTTATTCTAATCAAGTGACATTTTATTGGACGCTAAATCTATTTGATTCTAAAAGGAGCTGACGCCAGTGATAAGATGTGATTTCCACTTGCTTAGTCAGTAAATAGCTCAACTCAACTAAGTGATTAGATTGGAATTGCAATGAGTTCCTGAGGACTGCCTTCAAGCCTTTGAGGGTGTGTGTGTGTGTTACCTGTAATAAACTCTTGAGTTTGAGCAGCTTGTTTTTCACAGAGCTGCAGTCCTGGGCCATGTGTTTGAGTGTGATCTCGTCCAGCGCCCCCGAGTAGCCATCATGTCTCCCTACAGGAGGAAGAGGACGGGGGCCAACCATGAACCCCCCATGACAAGTATAACCATCATACTGCTGGAACACTGGACCCCTGGGAGAGGATGGAGAGAGAGAGAGAACAGAGAGAGAGGACAGAGAAAAAATAGGATAATATATTATTATATTATAGAAAGAGGAGAGGCGGTCAGAGAATGACCTTTGCCACATTGACTAGGCCTAAATGGGCAAATTAAGTCATTTACCAAATGCACTCTGGCTTTATCCAGAAAATATCCAATAATATCCAATTATGGCCAATCATATTTCACACAGCAGCTTTATATTCATGAATACAGAACACCTAGTAGACTATGTTGTGTTTGGTCTTTTTACCATTTTCATGCTGTAGGACAGCTACTGAGTCTCACCTGTTGTCATTATGGAAGTGGTCTAGTCCATTCCAGTGAGGCTGCCTCCTCCTCCAGTGACCCTTTCGTCCCCCCCTCTCTGAGCGGTCAAAATGGGCCATCCCATCAGCGTCTGAATGGATGGATAGATGGATAGATAGATGGATAGATGGGTCAGGGTCATCCACAAGTTAGCTTAGAAGATTATACAGTGGGGGAAAAAAGTATTTAGTCAGCCACCAATTGTGCAAGTTCTCCCACTTAAAAAGATGAGAGAGGCCTGTAATTTTCATCATAGATACACGTCAACTATGACAGACAAATTGAGAGAAAAAAATCCAGAAAATCACATTGTAGGATTTTTTATGAATTTATTTGCAAATTATGGTGGAAAATAAGTATTTGGTCACCTACAAACAAGCAAGATTTCTGGCTCTCACAGACCTGTAACTTCTTCTTTAAGAGGCACCTCTGTCCTCCACTCGTTACCTGTATTAATGGCACCTGTTTGAACTTGTTATCAGTATAAAAGACACCTGTCCACAACCTCAAACAGTCACACTCCAAACTCCACTATGGCCAAGACCAAAGAGCTGTCAAAGGACACCAGAAACAAAATTGTAGACCTGCACCAGGCTGGGAAGACTGAATCTGCAATAGGTAAGCAGCTTGGTTTGAAGAAATCAACTGTGGGAGCAATTATTAGGAAATGGAAGACATACAAGACCACTGATAATCTCCCTCGATCTGGGGCTACACGCAAGATCTCACCCCGTGGGGTCAAAATGATCACAAGAATGGTGAGCAAAAATCCCAGAACCACACGGGGGGACCTAGTGAATGACCTGCAGAGAGCTGGGACCAAAGTAACAAAGCCTACCATCAGTAACACACTACGCCGCCAGGGACTCAAATCCTGCAGTGCCAGACGTGTCCCCCTGCTTAAGCCAGTACATGTCCAGGCCCGTCTGAAGTTTGCTAGAGTGCATTTGGATGATCCAGAAGAGGATTGGGAGAATGTCATTTGGTCAGATGAAACCAAAAAATAACTTTTTGGTAAAAACTCAACTCGTTGTGTTTGGAGGACAAAGAATGCTGAGTTGCATCCAAAGAACACCATACCTACTGTGAAGCATGGGGGTGGAAACATCATGCTTTGGGGCTGTTTTTCTGCAAAGGGACCAGGACGACTGATCCGTGTAAAGGAAAGAATGTATCGTGAGATTTTGAGTGAAAACCTCCTTCCATCAGCAAGGGCATTGAAGATGAAACGTGGCTGGGTCTTTCAGCATGACAATGATCCCAAACACACCGCCCGGGCAACGAAGGAGTGGCTTCGTAAGAAGCATTTCAAGGTCCTGGAGTGGCCTAGCCAGTCTCCAGATCTCAACCCCATAGAAAATCTTTGGAGGGAGTTGAAAGTCCGTGTTGCCCAGCGACAGCCCCAAAACATCACTGCTCTAGAGGAGATCTGCATGGAGGAATGGGCCAAAATACCAGCAACAGTGTGTGAAAACCTTGTGAAGACTTACAGAAAATGTTTGACCTGTGTCATTGCCAACAAAGGGTATATAACAAAGTATTGAGAAACTTTTGTTATTGACCAAATACTTATTTTCCACCATAATTTGCAAATAAATTCATTAAAAATCCTACAATGTGATTTTCTGGAAAAAATATTCTCATTGTCTGTCATAGTTGACGTGTACCTATGATGAAAATTACAGGCCTCTCTCATCTTTTTAAGTGGGAGAACTTGCACAATTGGTGGCTGACTAAATACTTTTTTTCCCCACTGTAAGTGTGTGTGTGTGTGTGTGGAGGCAGTGGTTCTATATGTTGCGTGTAAACAGCAGAGGAGGCTGGTGGGAGGCTGAGTAGGGCTGTCCACGACAAAAACAATAATAATGTCGACCAAGAGTCATCTGTTCTTTCGACCAATCGATTGGTCTAAATGTTAAAATTTGTATTTTTCCATATATAGACCTCCTATGTGTTTTAATCAAATCAACTATATGCACTGAACTTGTCTGATGCTTTAAGCGAACTGTTTGATGAAATAATGAAGACACACAAATGACTAGAGGGAGTCCGACCGCAATTGATTTGATTGTGCCGGGCCTGGCTCAGACTGGCTGCACTGTGTTTAAAAAAAAGACAGCGAGTAACTGTGTGACTAGCACCCATAGTCTCTCTCTCCACCCTGCTGCAGTGACCACCACAGAACATCAACAGTGTTTATCGCGCTGTACATGTTGCTGAAGCTGCAACATAATTACAGCCATTTCTGACTGAAAAGTTATGTTACCGAAATTTGTTTAGGAAAAACATTCCCTATTCCCTCAATGGAACGGTTTAGGCCTATTTATTGTTTATGCTAATTATTCAATGGCCACTTTGTTATTTTAGTTTAAAACAAAAAAATCTTGATTGCATTTCAAATCATGAATGACTCGTACGCTGTATTATGACATGAACTAATAAATTATCGATTGATACAGTAACCTATATAAATATTGAAATATAGGCCTAAGTAAGTTACGGTAGTAAGACTAAACAGGATGAGCTCTTAGGCCTACAGCTCGATGGTGGTTATACAAGGCTGCTATACTAAGCCTACTAATGATCATGACATTACTTAGTATTATAATGATGATCATAATAATAATAGTAATAATAACAATAAGAAGAGGTCAAGGAAAAAGTAGGGTTATTATTACAAATATAATGTTTCTGACAATTTGGAACAGTGTAAACACTAAATCAATTATAAATAATACCAGAGAGGCTGGCCTAACAAAAAAAAGTGTAAAGCCTTTATTACATCATAGCAAAGATTAAAAACATACACATTTGTGAAATCGTTTATCCGACATGTGGTTGCGTGAGGCTAGGTGCTCACGGAATCAGTAGCCTATTAAACAAACAGGCAACAGAAGCAGGATCTGTCTTATTTCTGTAGATATATATTGATGATTTATAAAGCCAGGCACATTTAACAGTTAGGCTATTTATTATAGGGCGGCAGGTAGCTTAGTGGGTAAGAGCGTTGTGCCAGTAACCGAAAGGTCGCTGATTCTAATCCCCGAGCCGACTAGGTGAAAAATCTGTCGATGTGCCCTTAAGCAAGGCACTTAACCCTAATTGCTCATGTAAGTCGCTCTGGATAAGAGCGTCTGCTAAATGACTAAAATGTAATGTAAATGTAATTATAGACCTAATTAAGTCAGGGTTTCTTCTCTCCTCACTTTTCTTAGACAATTAAGGCAAAGGCTGTTTTCTCATCCCCTAACTCCGCTGCTGCCTCCGCCACATTGTTCTCAACACCAAAATGTTGGTTAACTTTGCTATTATGCACATAGCAACATGGTCTAGGAAAAGGCGACAATTCAACAGCGCACTGATGTGTTTCAGAAATGTGGACAGCAACCACCATCCAACGCAGGAGAAAGCACATTTGTTATAAAATAATATTATTTTTGTATTTGTGTTGCACCATTGTTCTTACATAATATAACCATATACAATTTCAGTAGCACATGTCTTAGACTGATGGACTGTGCCATCCCCACGGCCTCCACAATGGATCAGTCCACTCAGACAGGCACGAATCAGACAGGTGTCTTGTACACCATTTTTTATTGCTAATGCTCGACTAAGCTAATGCTCGACCAAACAATCGACCAGTCGACTAAATGGGGTCAGCCCTAAAATGGAGTCAAACGTGGCTTCCATATGTTTGATGTGTTCAATACCATTCCATTAATTCCATTCCAGCCATTACAATGAGCCCGTCCTCCTATAGCTCCTCCCACCAGCCTCCTCTGGTAAACAGTCCTGTATACACTCTGCCAAGCGCACACAAACATAAATATTGCCTCATGAGACAAGGTTAACTTAGGGGACTTCTATTTGTTCACTTAGGGGACTTCTATATGTGTGAGAACAAATAGAAGTGTGTGTGTGTGTGTGTGTGAACAAATAGAAGTCCCCTAAATTAACAGTCAGACAGTAGGACTCTCAGGGGTTAACATCAACAGAGAAGATTAACAAACTCATACACACCCACAAAACACATATAGTACAGACACACAACTTCTATTCCAAACTGAGCAACCAAGGGACATAAATATTTGGCAACGCTCTAATCAAACAAGCCATTAATGAACCGAGACAACATAAAAAAGACAGACTGCATAAAATTGTGTGGCAGTCTTCAAATAACTCAATCTGTCAGTCTTCAAATAACTCAATCTGCCAGTCTTTAAATAACTCAATCTTACTGTTGTAGCATGTGAGGTGGTGCAAAACAAATGCCACAGAATACAGAAAGTCAGCCAAGTTCTTCAGCTGAGGACTAAACAAATACCTTACCGAGCCTCTCTCCACACCGTAACTGAAGACGACCCTGTCTAAATTGTCAGCCCAGTAATTCCAGAAGTAATCCGCTACATTCCAATATGCTCTGCTAAATCCATGAACTCCTTCTCAACACGTACAAAACTCAAATCCAAACATGACAAATCCAAAGTGGTCAAATTGAAAAGGAAAAGGGTGGGCTGAAGTGCTAGTCAGCTGTTTAAAGGGCTGGAGAAACTTATCCACCCTGTTGTCTGTTTTCTGAGAAACTCCCCAGGAGCCGGGGCCAGAGAGGGAGGGAGAGGCTGGGGTGGCTGTGTCTGTGGCCAGGCTGGGAGTCACCGGAGCTGGAGCCTGCTGGAGAAAATAGCAGGGCCTCCCTTTCCCTTCTTCCTGCTTGGCTGACAGAGCCTGTGTCCATGGGAAGGAGGGAGGAAGGAGAGGAGAGGGAGGATGGGCCTAAGGCTATGCTACATTGAAGCTCCCTCCCTCCCTTCTCTCTAGGCCTGCCCTGGAGGGCTGAGCTTGGCTGGACCCTCTGTCCGCTCCCCTCTCCCTTAACTACGACCCCCTCGCTATGACATACAGAGCTATAAATACGGTCTCTTTCCAGAAAGGAGGAGGGAGGGATGCCGGTTGGATTCACAATCCTTCAGAGTAAACGTTCCTGTCACACACGAACACAACACACTCAATGTAGCACTCTGTAAACTGTAAAACCAGGCTGTGGCTGTTTACATAGATATGAATGACTAAGTAAAGAGCAGATGTCCTGGTAATGTATGTACTGTATGTACAGTGGGGGAAAAAAGTATTTAGTCAGCCACCAATTGTGTAAGTTCTCCCACTTAAAAAGATGAGAGAGGCCTGTAATTTTCATCATAGGTACACGTCAACTATGACAGACAAATTGAGGGGAAAAAATCCAGAAAATCACATTGTAGGATTTTTAATGAATTTATTTGCAAATTATGGTGGAAAATAAGTATTTGGTCACCTACAAACATGCAAGATTTCTGGCTCTCACAGACCTGTAACTTCTTCTTTAAGAGGCTCCTCTGTCCTCCACTCGTTACCTGTATTAATGGCACCTGTTTGAACTTGTTATCAGTATAAAAGACACCTGTCCACAACCTCAAACAGTCACACTCCAAACTCCACTATGGCCAAGACCAAAGAGCTGTCAAAGGACACCAGAAACAAAATTGTAGACCTGCACCAGGCTGGGAAGACTGAATCTGCAATAGGTAAGCAGCTTGGTTTGAAGAAATCAACTGTGGGAGCAATTATTAGGAAATGGAAGACACTGATAATCTCCCTCGATCTGGGGCTCCACGCAAGACCTCACCCCGTGGGGTCAAAATGATCACAAGAACGGTGAGCAAAAATCCCAGAACCACACGGGGGGACCTAGTGAATGACCTGCAGAGAGCTGGGACCAAAGTAACAAAGCCTACCATCAGTAACACACTACGCCGCCAGGGACTCAAATCCTGCAGTGCCAGACGTGTCCCCCTGCTTAAGCCAGTACATGTCCAGGCCCGTCTGAAGTTTGCTAGAGTGCATTTGGATGATCCAGAAGAGGATTGGGAGAATGTCATATGGTCAGATGAAACCAAAATATAACTTTTTGGTAAAAACTCAACTCGTCGTGTTTGGAGGACAAAGAATGCTGAGTTGCATCCAAAGAACACCATACCTACTGTGAAGCATGGGGGTGGAAACATCATGCTTTGGGGCTGTTTTTCTGCAAAGGGACCAGGACGACTGATCCGTGTAAAGGAAAGAATGAATGGGGCCATGTATCGTGAGATTTTGAGTGAAAACCTCCTTCCATCAGCAAGGGCATTGAAGATGAAACGTGGCTGGGACAATGATCCCAAACACACCGCCCGGGCAACGAAGGAGTGGCTTCGTAAGAAGCATTTCAAGGTCCTGGAGTGGCCTAGCCAGTCTCCAGATCTCAACCCCATAGAAAATCTTTGGAGGGAGTTGAAAGTCTGTGTTGCCCAGCGACAGCCCCAAAACATCACTGCTCTAGAGGAGATCTGCATGGAGGAATGGGCCAAAATACCAGCAACAGTGTGTGAAAACCTTGTGAAGACTTACAGAAAACGTTTGACCTGTGTCATCGCCAACAAAGGGTATATAACAAAGTATTGAGAAACTTTTGTTATTGACCAAATACTTATTTTCCACAATAATTTGCAAATAAATTCATAAAAAATCCTACAATGTGATTTTCTGGATTTTTTTTCTCATTTTGTCTGTCATAGTTGACGTGTACCTATGATGAAAATTACAGGCCTCTCTCATCTTTTTAAATGGGAGAACTTGTACAATTGGTGGCTGACTAAATACTTTTTTTCCCCACTGTATGTGTGTGTGTGTGTGTGTGTGTAGAGAGAGAACGAGATGCGCTTTGGGTTGTCTGTGCGGTTTGTGGTCATAAAGGGACCCTTGTTAGCAATCCTTTGGCAAGACTGGTCAGCAGTCTCACACTGGGCCAAGTGTTTTCAGAGCAGTGGAAAGAACTGCATTCCCCATGAATACCACTGTCAGTATGGCATTCACAATACAGTGGTTAGACTTCATTACCTAAGATTCATGATCAATGACCGATGATCACTGACGTAGGGAGTTTGTGATGGCTTGTGTAATGTACAAAATGCCAAAATCTTTCTCTCACACAGACACACATACATGCCCACACACACCTACACCACACACACAAATACAATCCTGCTGTCTCAGAGAATAGAAGCCTATTTACCAAAACTATTTATGGGATTAGTTTATCTCGTTACCTAATCAGCACTTAAAATAGGACCAGAGGAATGTGTCATGATTTGAGATTAAAATGGTCATTTACATAGGTGTGCCATGATTACATTTACAGAGTGGAATGAAGAGCTACATTGAAAAGGTGAGAGGATCTGGTCACAGTGATTTCATTGTAATGATTAGGGCTCTCCTGAACCAATCATTAGCGTTAAGGAGCACCAAGCCTGGGGAAAGATGAAGGAAGAGGTGACTGCACCTGGAGCCACTGTTGTCTGTGTTCGTAGAGAGCCGTCCTCAGGGAGGTCCACATCCAGCATGAGGTCGTCATCCTCCAGGTCAGCTGGCTCCAGGTTGTTCAGAATGTCCTGCATGGTGGAAGAGAACGAGCGAGGGAGACAAAAGTTGGTTTCAATCCAAATTCAAATTTGATTCAATTTATGTTATGACAATACTCAAGCTAGTAACCCAACTGTTTTGTTCTGTCAGTTCACAAGAGATCCTCAAAAAAGATTAGACAGAAGGTATTTTAAAAAACACCTCACAATGCTCCCATCTGTAAAGGCATGATTAGTTCACTATTTTCATCTTCTAGTGCAAAAGTAGTGGGTACATTTTTATGCTCACAGTTGTCCTTTTGATTCAGACTCTCACGGACAAACAGGTTGTTATTCAAAACAACAAGAAGCAGAGTCGGAGACAACTAAAGATTTGCAGGCATGAAATTCTCCAAAGAAACATCACTCTTGAATGAGTATGATAATATACCGGCAAGCATGTCTCATTATTAAAGCTAAAATAGTCTGCACTTTGCTTATTGTTGAATTGAAAGCATAACATACCCAAAAGCAAAAAATCCAAGAGTACAAATTATTACTTATAAGTTTGCAAAGCATCAATTCCAAGGCAATTTTGTACGTCAGAAGAAAATTAAAATACATAGCGAGGCCTTTACTTGATGATGTACCCATAAAATGATGGTGGTTGCTGGTATCTAATGGATGTTTTGTTATTAAAGGTAAGGGAACAGTTATCTAAATCAAGCTGGTCTTGAAGCAGGGAACCATGATAGAAAACAGAAAAATAACATCTGATATCTGATCCATACTTGTATCTGCCAGTGCACCCAACTGAACTGTACTCACTCTTTCTCCCACAAACCTGCTCTCCTCTATTCCCTCCCCTGCTCATTTGGTAATCCTATTATCACCTTCTTAACTTCTCTCGCTATTTCCCTTTCTCTGTCCTCTTCCTCTCTTCTCCTCTCCTCGCTCTCTTCCATTCTCCTCACCTCCTCTTCTCCCCCTCTGCTTGCTACCCTGCTCTCTTTTCCACTCTTCCCCTCTCTCTTTCCCCCCCACTCTATCCATCTCTCCTCTAGAGGTCCCTCATGCAGAGCAGGCCTTAGTCACGGCACGTTGCTCCAGAGGAAATGGCATTTCACACTGGCAGGCTGCAGCTTAGATGCCGAGCGGGCCACATAATCTCCCCCAAGGAGGAGAAAAAGACTGGTTGAATGAACCGGGAATCTGGGGTCATATTTCACACAAATCCCACTCCAGCTGACTGCCCTGGCGCTCTGACGTTAGAACCATCAGCCAAACAGAGAGCACTGGGGGGTCCAGCAGAACCACAGTACCACAGCAGGTCCTGTGTTGAAATTAAGCTAGCTCCAGTGGTGGTCCCCTCAGTGGTGCTAAACCTCCTGTTCAGTAGATGGAGACTAATGGGCAACTGATTTCCAGGATTAGAGTGATTGTCCATCTCTCTCGTCATACATATTTAATATAAAGATATTTCATTAATTAAACTTAAACCTTGTTAAAATATTTCATCACATTATTCACATTATGATTTCAGAAATTCAGGAAGGATTTTGCTGTGGTTGTGCACAGGGACTGTAACATGCTATGGGAATTCCTGCACCATTCTGTGTCCCTCAGTCAGTTAACCTCACATTCCCCCCATCTTCTCCCTACTGCCCTCTCAATCTGCACCATGTGGGGAGATCAATGCAGAATAATAAACCAAAGGGAAAGCCTTGGCCCATTCAACCCTATATTGAATTGAAACTTCAAACACAACTCTCTGTTCAGATATTAATCTGAGGTTAGCTGAGGCCCAAAGCCCACACAGATTACCTCATATGACCCACTAGTGTGATTAATATATGATGTAGCTTTGCCCCCACAACCCAAGCCATGCAGAACTTCAGTCTGCCTTACCCAGAAATGTAATCAATACAAAATGAAACTATAACAAATATAAAATACAACCTTTTGGGTAAATTATTGCTCTATAAGGAATTGTGGGTACAAATAAAAACACACATACAGTGGGGAAAAAAAGTATTTAGTCAGCCACCAATTGTGCAAGTTCTCCCACTTAAAAAGATGAGAGAGGCCTGTAATTTTCATCATAGGTACACGTCAACTATGACAGATAAAATGAGAAAAAAAAATCCAGAAAATCACATTGTAGGATTTATTATGTATTTATTTGCAAATTATGGTGGAAAATAAGTATTTGGTCACCTACAAACAAGCAAGATTTCTGGCTCTCACAGACCTGTAACTTCTTCTTTCAGAGGCTCCTCTGTCCTCCACTCGTTACCTGTATTAATGGCACCTGTTTGAACTTGTTATCAGTATAAAATACACCTGTCCACAACCTCAAACAGTCACACTCCAAACTTCACAATGGCCAAGACCAAAGAGCTGTCAAAGGACACCAAAAACAAAATTGTAGACCTGCACCAGGCTGGGAAGACTGAATCTGCAATAGGTAAGCAGCTTGGTTTGAAGAAATCAACTGTGGGAGCAATTATTAGGAAATGGAAGACATACAAGACCACTGATAATCTCCCTCGATCTGGGGCTCCACGCAAGATCTCACCCCGTGGGGTCAAAATGATCACAAGAACGGTGAGCAAAAATCCCAGAACCACACGGGGGGACCTAGTGAATGACCTGCAGAGAGCTGGGACCAAAGTAACAAAGCCAACCATCAGTAACACACTACGCCGCCAGGGACTCAAATCCTGCAGTGCGAGACGTGTCCCCCTGCTTAAGCCAGTACATGTCCAGGCCCGTCTGAAGTGCATTTGGATGATCCAGAAGAGGATTGGGAGAATGTCATATGGTCAGATGAAACCAAAATATAACTTTTTGGTAAAAACTCAACTCGTCATGTTTGGAGGACAAAGAATGCTGAGTTGCATCCAAAGAACACCATACCTACTGTGAAGCATGGGGTTGGAAACATCATGCTTTGGGGCTGTTTTTCTGCAAAGGGACCAGGACGACTGATCCGTGTAAAGGAAAGAATGAATGGGGCCATGTATCGTGAGATTTTGAGTGAAACCCTCCTTCCATCAGCAAGGGCATTGAAGATGAAACGTGGCTGGGTCTTTCAGCATGACAATGATCCCAAACACACCGCCCGGGCAACGAAGGAGTGGCTTCGTAAGAAGCATTTCAAGGTCCTGGAGTGGCCTAGCCAGTCTCCAGATCTCAACCCCATAGAAAATCTTTGGAGGGAGTTGAAAGTCTGTGTTGCCCAGCGACAGCCCCAAAACATCACTGCTCTAGAGGAGATCTGCATGGAGGAATGGGCCAAAATACCAGCAACAGTGTGTGAAAACCTTGTGAAGACTTACAGAAAACGTTTGACCTGTGTCATTGCCAACAAAGGGTATATAACAAAGTATTGAGAAACTTTTGTTATTGACCAAATACTTATTTTCCACCATCATATGCCAATAAATTCATTAAAAATCCTACAACGTGATTTTCTGGATTTTTTTTTCTCATTTTGTCTGTCATAGTTGACGTGTACCTATGATGAAAATTACAGGCCTCTCTCATCTTTTTAAGTGGGAGAACTTGCACAATTGGTGGCTGACTAAATACTTTTTTTCCCCACTGTACCTCTAATATATCCTAGTGGGGCTTAAGATCAGTATGAAACAGGAAATGTTCAAATCAATATCTGTCGCAGATTCTCAGACGTAGTCACCAGCCCCTCAGCCTGAGATTTGAATTATCATGGCATTTTCACTAGATGTCCATTCTGTTTCCATAACTCTCAATGGAGGCTTCAGAGGTGCCTGGAGATCAATTGCTGCTCTTTCAGTAGATCCTCAGTCTAATTGAAGGTCATTCCCAGACTAAATGTAACACAGTTGGGCTTACTGCAAAGTGAGATACTGAAGATTTCAAAATGGTTTCTTTCATAAAAGACCAATACAGTATCTCCAAATAAAGTCGGACTAACCTATTTGTGAGTGTGACTCTGCAACGCCTCCACAATGACATTATGTTGACCCTATTCTACACTGAAGTTCTGAGTTGAAAGCACTAAGCTTGTCCTTTAAATATAAAATATGTCCTCTTCCTCTACAATGAAAGCACTTCCTTGTAATCCAATTATTCGACTCATTTACTGCTCTTGAACTAATGCATATCCCCCAAACCCAATTCTCAGGCTATAGCCAACTGCATATGACCATTCTCTGTGGTTCTATAAAGGATGTAATGTGGGGTAATCTAGGCAGCCATTGCTGCAAAGGGCTTATTGACTTTTACAGGGACAATTAGAGGGTCACTGTGAGCACAGAGAGTGTTAGAGAGATTGATGAGAGCAGAACTTCCCTTCCAAGGACAATAGGATGATACTGACTTGGGCAGAAAAGAGAGATTTAAGGAGAGATGGCCCCATAGCACTGATCTAAGGTCAGCTATGCTGCTTTAGGTTGGGATATTTAGGGTTTGGATGGTTAAAGGTGATAGGCAAAGGTTTCCCTTGTACATTTTAAACCTTTGTTTTTTATAACAGCTACATTTGAAAGACCTTCGAAATCATGAGAAAACAAGAAGAACTTTCACATTTTCCATTAGATGCAGCTATTCCAGTCAGGAAATAATCCGGTGCCAGGATCATTTGCCCTCTGACTGCCTACAGTGACCTCGCATTCAGAAACTCGCAGCAGAAATGTTCCAAAAAGCGGATTCGAAGCGGAATCCGCATTGACCACCATAGAGTCAACGTTTTAATTCCGCTTTGCCCAGCGGAGTCATATGGGCGGCAGAAGTGGTGGAAAATAGATCACTGCTCTATTTTGTCTGCTTCTGGTGACATGTTCACCAGAATGTGTTGGAGGGGCAATGGTCGGTGTAGATCGGTTTAAATTCATCCAGATTTCAAATGGGAAAAAGGGGGGACATTATATGCACGCTTTCATTTGCGGAAGCAGAAGTGGATTCTGACGCTAGTGTGTGAATACGGGATGAGAGCGGCGGCGGTCGGTCGGATTTATGCTAAATGACAAGACACTGTTGTCCATCTAGCTGACTATAATAAATTACTTGAAACG